ATATTAACGTTTGTCTTTTCCATAAGTGTCTCCATGTCCTTGCTTAAGAATACGAAATCTACCTGGACATTTTCGGCTTTCTGGTATAGTGAGATAGGTCATGGATACGAGGTATACCAAAAGTGAAAGATTCCTCAAATTTCTTACAGAGGTCCTTGTTTGTCCCTTGCCCCACAAGAGAGGAAAAGCAGAAAACTGATATATGCCAGTTGGATGACGGAACCCTTTTCATTTGCGGACGAGAATTTCGATTATAAAATGTTGGCGACACTATTTTTCCTGTACACCCATTTATTCCCATCTATTCACCACATATACAGATCCTGTCACCACGGTTGGCCATTCTTTGTCTCCAGCCTGCACCTTAAATGATAGTCAGTATCACAAGCTATTGCCCTCCAATTTGTACCGAACTCGATGCGTTTTACATTCAGTTTAAGAAAGTATGTAACGAGAAACAGAAAGATAAAAATTTGAACAATAATTACACGGTCACCGACTTCTCGAAAAACCCACCGCTTTTATCTGTTTTCCACCAAGGAAGAGCAGCCGCTTAGAGTCGCATATGGTTGTTTACTGCACCACCTCACATCAAAAATCAGTTCTGAGGTACGGAGCTAGATCACGTGTTATCTCAGGCATTCTTCCCTGCTATTCATTCTCGGTTTTTATTCATCTTTTTAGTCACATATCAGTGTACCCTTCCAAGCTTTGAAGAAGACGATACTGCTGAAACGTTATCCACTGGTGTGTTGTATGTGTTATATTTGTAAGAAAGTAGAGGTGTGCAGAATAACAACCTCGCGATTGCTGTTTAGTCGACAGTGAGTTTCGTACTTTTCAAAGGTATCAACAAAGAGATTTTGTCAACTAGAGGGAACACCAAATTACGGCTCATGTTTTCTCAAAGAACGCATCCATGCGTTACGTCTAACACTCCTGTTCTTTTGTTCCCTTTTTACAGCTCTGTGAGCTCATCAATCAAGGAAGCACATAAAAAATTTGAAAAAAGGTTATGAAAAGTTAAAAAACGTTAGGAGGGAGAAAAAATATACGATGATAAAATGGTAAGAAGGATTGAGCCAAAAACGCAAATAAAAAGGAAAATAAATTTTGAAAGATAAGGAACTTGTGGAGAGACAGTTAATAAAGTGGGCTTCACATCCATCTCTTGCGGAATATTCTCCGAGCCATTATTTACTTTCCATCTGTAATATGAATTTAAAAGTATATTGAAAAACTACACATTATGCGCAAAAAAACACCTGAGAGAAAGATGAAACGAAGAAGCCGCGTGGTCTAGTGGTGAACGCATTAGCCCCCGGAAAGGGTAACGGTGGATTCGATCCTCACCGCAGACATCTGCGGTCCTGAGTTTTGCAAATTTCACAGCATCGTTGTTGCTGTATTTCACGTGATACCCTGCCATGAAAAAAGAAAAAGCAGTGAGTAGAAAGTGACTGTTAGGCATAAATATGAATGTATGCATGAAATGGCTTCCTCGTTTTAGTGAGTGCGCTCTCTTTTCGGATACCACTTTGTTGCTGCAGTTCGAAGTACAATTTTGACTAACTAAACTTGTGATGCAGTCAATGAACGCCTACATCGTTCATATGTTGTGAAAACATTCTACACCCGATGTGGGGAGAATAGTCGTGTGACTTGCCTGAATGAACTACGGGAAAATCTCCCGGGATACAAAACACTCCTTAAAATGTACACTTATATTCCATATACATACATATACATAATGTCTAGCACACACCTTATCAATTATTGCGAGGATGATCAGATTTACTTATCAGTATGCTAACATTACAGGTAACGTGCAATCGATCCATGCGCACGTGGCCCAAAAAGCCTTCCATCTCTCCGGGGTCGGCAAATTGGTACCAGACTTGTCTGGGAGGATAGCAGCACTGGCTCGATACATCAGTAAGCCACTGCGAGTCAGGTCAGATATGCATTCATTCTCTTCCAACGATGCTTAATGAACTCAAATGCATGGCACATCCTTCAGAAATTAATCTACGCCGGGAGCTTTCTTTTTTATGTAACAACAATATTTACTACTAAATTCTACCAGCAATCGATTCCAAGTCTTCAATGCTATGTCGACTTTAATCAGTGGTCCATTTTTTATCATTTGTTGTTTATGTTATTTGAGGATTCTCCGCTCACTTTTTCGCCATCGAAAGGGCTTGAGCTTTTCTTGATAATATTAGAAGTACTGATTATATATATGCTGACTATAGGTGAATTTCTCACTCTAATAAAGCGAAAATAAAGAAAAAAGTTAACTTTTATTTAGGAGCTGTTATCACAGTGGCAGTGATGTGCGTCATCACGAGCTTGGTACTAGTTCGATTCGGCTCCGGGTTAATCAAGCCTCTCATCGCACAGGGGTCGTGAAATTGGTACCGGACTGGTCTGGGAAAAAATCACTATCTGCAATTGGGAACGCTGCACGCCGGCTATCTCAGGACTCCATGGAGAACGGCTCGACCAACATTCTACGGCATTCAAAATGAAATGAAAATCCTCAAGTAGCAACCGAAGCCACATATAGAAGATAGGAAATCTTCGTGGACGATGAATTCGAAGAGACGAATCGAATGCAAGAAGTGTTGGGACCCGCAAAGTAGACGTGAAGACGGGTTAATTAAAATGAAGTGAAATAGAAAATTCTTATTTACTGCCTACTTTTTTTTTCCACAGAAGGGCACGATATGTAACCACAATAATGCTGAGATATGAACAAAATCGGAAACCACAGTTGTGCTTTGAACGAGCGATTACTCCTGCAAGCAGGTCACCTGCTGCCCAACGCACTTACCGAAGACCTTGCTTTGTTTTTCTCTCAGCCAGTTCTTTCACGCTAACGGTGACATTTCTTATTATTTCTATTATTTGTGACATTATTATTTGTGACCTTAGTGTAATGTTTCTGAGAAATGAATTGCTCTACAAATCCTTATCAACTTTTCGTCTCATTACCACTTCACATCGGTAGTGGTACTGCGAAGATGAAGAACAAAGCTTCGAGTTGAGGTTCAAACTTCTTTCTGCTTTTTAACAATTGTTAATAGAGGCGCGTGTGGAGCAGTGGTCGGAGGGGCCTGCAACACACACGTGGAATCGATCCCCGCGCCTATGGCTCACCAAGCCTTCTATGCCACCGGGGTCAGCATATTGGTACCAGACTTGTCTGGAAGGTTAGCGGCACTGGTTCGATACATCGGTAGGCCGCTGCGAGTCATTGTTAAGGCCAGATATGCATTCAACCACCTCCAATGATGCTTAATGAAATCGAATGCATGGCGCATTTTTTAGGGCATGTTCCAGGCCGAGAGATTCATCCTTGTTTATCCCTTCTATGGGCGCACCGTATTTTCTTGGATTAACCAGACAATGGAGAATGCATTGCAAAAGACATTTGCAATTTCGAGCCACAGTTAGAAAGAAAGTTACAGCAAACGAAGCGAGTATTTTGTTACTCCAGCCGATAGATTCTACACCTTCATTGATCTTTCTCACTTATTTCTGTACAATAACGATTGTCATATGAGACTGTTCTGGGAACAGACCTTTTTTAGGAATAAACTTTTTTTTACAGATCACTTCAAAGAGAATGCCCAGCTGCTGAGCATTACTTACTTGATACTTGAATGGCCTATCCTCACTAGTTGTGCGGGTTTTAGCATAATCACCATTCTTCGGATATTTGTTGGTTAAGCCATTGTGGTTCCTTGGAATCCCGAGGTTAGCCTGGCCAAAGTCTGCCCCAGTTGTGCATTTGGCAGTATTAATTGTGACGTTCACAATCACCTGCGTATGTCGTGGCTCTTATGTTTTAGCATTTCGTGGCATCATTGTATGTTTATTCTTATAGCAAATAGAAGAAAAATTCATCAAGTAGAAAAAATGAAAGCAGAGCAAAACTTCCGTGATCTTTGCGAAACCGAAAGGGCTGAAACCACTGAAAAATAAATGCTGCATCATGCACTACAAAATCATGCTAGTTTTTCAAGAACGCAACAAAAAAGGAGGCCCCTTGTACTCTGTTTGGATGTCCTTCGTCGACGTTTGGATGTCTTCAATCGCTCTGAATGCCTTTCCAAACAATCTTGACTCGGTTGGCCCACATTCGCTCATTATAACGTTTTGCCAATCCTGCTGACGATGACTGTAGCAGCGACTATTCGGGCTGCAAATGCTAGGCAGACCACTTTTGTTTTATTTTCATGTCATTGTGCAGAGAAACTTTCTCTGGTGCTTTTCCTTCAGCTGGAAATCCTGCATTCTAACTAGCACTGTGCTTAAAACAAGGGTGAAATGTTAAAGCCTGAAGACACTATTTCTTAATGATTGAAATGAATGGTGTCGGGCTAAGGTGCTAAACTATTCTGCACTAGCAGGGTAGGATGTCAGGCCTTAGGATGGTAAACCGGTGTAACTCTTCCTTCTTGTCGTAATAGGCCGTTCAACTAGATTTTGTATTTCGCCAAGTCACTCTAGACGTGTACACCAGCGCCGACAGTTTTCCCTTTGTCGTACTGCATGTTTCACAAACGATTACATATTTAGTGTCATAAAAGACGTTTTATGGGTTGCATCATCAGGTAACAGCCACTCCTTTACTGTCGATGATCCTAATTACTCGCTTGATGAGATCCCAACTGGGGATTTCAAGACTTAAATGTATAAAAGCTGTTCGTCATAGCGTATGTGCAAAACTAGGACGAGCATCTCCTCAGTCAATTTGGAGTGAAGGAAAACACCGCGTTTGGTTAGGAGTATGGGAAAATTGAGAAAGCCCCACGTACCTTCACAGTCAACCGGTAGGAAATTCTTAACTGGCTGAGATCCTTGGAATAGAAGGATAGTTTCAACATATTTCCGTATTTAAAATACTATTATCAAGATAAAATGAATGCCAAATAATTCGAGAAGCCTTTGACTAAACAGTAATTCGATTTCAGGTGCGCCCTTTGCTTTCAATGGCGCATACACGCCCAATGATCATCAGCTTCTCCTGCGTCCATCCGTGGATGATGCTAATGACGGTGAAGGATCTTCGACGCAAATTGTGCGTTATGTACGGAATTCAAAAGCACCCCGCGCTTGTAAGTGATTCTTTTCTTTTCGAATAGGCACGAATGCATTTCAACGCTATTTTTTTTCAGAGCCCTATTATGGCACTCTTCGTCAAAGGACAAACTAAACAACCATGCTACAAACCGGAATCACGCCTATTCTGGAAAACACCGCGATTTCAACGGAAGTTCACGGCGTGATCTTACATTGCAAATGCATTTCTAGCTGTCTTAGTAGTACTAAATGTACCGTCTTGTGTAACTTTGCTCAGGACCTATAGATGGCACAGCAAATTCGTTGGTAGAAAGGTATAGATAGTCGATTTCCAAGTGGATAAAAAATCGAACAACTCTATAAATTGTACAACTGTACGAGTTGATGGCCCACAGTGGTTCGTCTTCTCGATGTCTTTTTTTCTATGAAAGCCTTTTTTTTTTAAAACCAAACGCACATACCAGCTATTAATGCTTCTACAGCTGATTTCCGATTTTTGGACTTGATTAGATAGCTTACATGGCTGAAAAAATAATAATTAGAGACAAGGCAGAACCATTGATATTCTGAATTTCTGAAATCTGATAAACGGATTTATAAAATCTGGAATCTCCCGTATTAATGGTGGTTTGCGAGAAACACCCCTATGAGCCCAAGAGCTTAACAATAGCCAGTTCATTTGACTTGCTCCTTTCTCTGTGCCTAATATTCGCTTCCACTTTCAAATCTAAACTTGGAAGATGGACCTTTATAAACCTTAGCTCTAATACTTAATATACGCAAAGATTACGAACTGTCTTTGTTAAAACTCCCAAGTTCGACTTTCTATTAACCTCGGCATTGATTGAATATATCTCTCTACTTCTGTTCAGCAAACACGAGGTGCTATTTTATTTCTTTATTTACGCACAAGCTGACGTTTCGGCAGATTTCGCCTTCCTCAGAGCCTGGAAGGGTCAACCTGACAGCAATCCATTCAGCCAAACACTTCCATAACCAAACAGAGAAAACGCTAAACCAAGATTTCAATCACATTTGGCATAGCTCTGCACACTCGCCGCTTTCTATGAGGCTTCCACTGAGTATGTCGCGTGAAGACCGACCGCACCAAATTCACATGGAAGCGTAATGTGCTCCTCCCATCAGAATAACAGGTTTATATACTGTCCAATATCGCGTGTGATAACGAGGCATTCCTCCCTGCGGTTCGTTTTCGGATTCTTGGAATTTATCCAGAATGCCTCTAGAGTTTCGCGCGCTTGTGTTCTCGATTCTTGAGCGAGGATCGTAACCCTTACTTCAAAATCTTCTCCGTTATGTCTTTGTTGAGATGACGTGATTTTGGCGTCGGTTGTTGTTGGCTCGCATTGTTCTTCGACGGCTCATCATCCCACATGTGTAAAGAGTGTGTAAAGAGTACACCTGTTGCCTTACCCCGTACAAAACCGTTATAAACAAGGTGAAGTTGCTAAAACGTTGAATATCGAATCACAAGAGCAGCAACAACTGACCAACCGTGCTTCAACTCAACGAGCGCCCTTTCGTAAGAAATGCAAATTTACACTATCGGCCATATCTATCGACTTTGATACTTAGATGGACTGCCTGCACTAGTTGCCCGCGCTTCAGCATAATTTCTTTTTTCTGGAGACTTGTTGGTTTTGCTACTGTCGTTTCCTGTCAGCGCTAAGATTGGGCCAAGAAGAACATCTGAAGAACGTCTCATTGGGACCCACGCATTAGAATGGAACGAACAGGGTGAGCCGCTGTCTGAGTTTATCATGGTCTTGGAAGGCTTTGATAGTCAAGGAGTCCCTACTCAGTACATAAAGATTTTTCGTGAGTTGTACAAAAATTTCATAACCAAAGGTGTCACCATTCTAAAACGATATTAACATTGACATCAAAAAAGGAGTTAGGCAGGGCGGTACTATCTCGCCAAAATTATTTACCGCCACCCTCCAGAACGTCATGCGAACATTGGAATGGAGTAATATGGGTGTGAACATCGACGGTCGGCAGTTACACCATCTTCGCTTTACTGATGACGTCGTCCTTATAACACCAAACATTGGTAAAACGGAACGTATGCTTGCCGATTTTGATAAAGTCTGTGGAAAGATTGGTCTTCAACTAAATCTCACAAAAACGGTGTTCATGAGCAACGGATTGGTTTCGTATGCCCCATTCAGGCTCAACGCAACGAATATCACCGAATGCTCCAGTGATATCTATCTAGGTCGGGAAATCAGTATGATGAACGACCTAGCTCCAGAGCTGTGCAGAAGGAAACGAGTGGCTTGGGGAGCTTTCAAGAGCATCGAGGTTATAGTGAAGAGAACAAAGAACACCAGACTCCGTGCCCACCTTTTCGACTCAACGGTACTTCTTGCCCAATCGTATGCGACAGAAACCTGGTCGCTGCGTAAGCAGGATAAAAGGTTACTCAGCGTTATCGAAGGAGCAGTCCAAAGGACGATGCTAGGAGTATCCCGTTAAATACCAACCTCGTGTCTGCTGTTTGAAGAAAAACAGCGAACTTCAATGAGTCTTGCTTGTTATCGTGCGGATGTGGAACATCGTACTGAATCCTTTTCGAAACCCTGCTTTCTCTCATGGCTGCCCTTCGTCTTGTGTTCTGTCAATCCTGTTTAGGAAGACTCGAGTGAAAAGTTTGCAAACGACAGTCAGCAAGCAGATTGTGCAATAGTTGTCGATATCGTAGAGATCACCATTCTCGAGCAATAGCACGTTCTTGTTGGTCTCCCATTCTGTAGGGACCTTGCATTCAGATAGGTCAAATATGAACAGTAGAGCCAGCAGGTTTATGAAGACTGGCGAAAGATTCTTCAGGTGACCAAATGTTTTCGTTTTCGGACCTGGGACTGTTCGGGATTTTACCGACGAAATAACAAGTCGGATTACGGAAGGAAGAATCTATAGTACGAGATACCATCCTCCTTTGTCTCATATGGGAGCAGGAGGACGTGGATATTGAAGACATCTCGGTGGTATTCGTTAATAGTTTTTTCCATTGTCTTGGAAGCTGTAACTGTTCCGCCTGGGTGTCGGAGTGCAATCATCGTCGTTTTGGGAAGTTGGGAGCCTCAAACGGTTTGGACCCTCATCGTGACCAGGAGGTGTTCCTGGGTTTGGGGCTCCGATGTACAGCGGCGAAATACATCCCTCTTTTAGGGTTTCCCAAAGTAAGAAGAAATCCCGCGTTTCCATCAGCAAGCCCAGCTAAGAGTAAACCAGTGCTAGAGTTCACCACCGTCCTGGTATCAAACTAGTTGCGTAGTAGTAAATCTCTCTCTGATCGATAATGACGGCGACGGCATGGGGTGGCGACCTAGGGCAGAATTTGGATAGGCTGATCTCGGGACTCCAGGAAACAGCAATCACTAAACCAGCAAAATTAAGAAAAATGTGGAAATTATGGTGGAGCTCGCGCAACCAGTGAGTACGGACCGTGCGAGTATCCAATAAAGGTTTTTTATAGATCTAAAACTATATGCACAACTTAAATATCTCCGACACTTCTGTCGCTTATCGATGTTTAATCTTTCTGGTATCAGAACCATATATTTGTCCGTATGTGGAATTTTTACTTTGTAGTTATCGGAACAAATTGAAAAGTATCTCTTTAGAACCACAATGTTGCTGAGATATTTACAAAACTCCGGATGGCTGGTGTCTGTGGTGGGGACCGACCGAACACGCTATTGTCCTTACCGTGGAGTAACGGATCCACCACCACACCTTGCGAGTCCTACGTTTCACCTGTCTCTCAGCCGTGTTACTCACCTATTGGGGCTATCACCAGTCACTCTACAACGTCGTCCCATCAAGATTACGGTTATGTTTCACATAACACCCTGCCATTAAAATTTAATAAGCAGTAAATAAAAATTGACGGTATCGCTTTAGAGTTCTCCCTTACCGTATCAGTGCATTCACCATGTCTTTTTTAAAAACAGGAATCAATTTTTTAATGTTTATTCACAAGGTAAAATACAATGTTTAAAAAAATAGAAAAAGCGCAAAAAATATATACAAATGCGTCAGAGGTCAACATTTAGAGGAATGTACAATTTTAACCTGACAGTTTTCCGTTCTATCAAAAGTCCACCGTGTAATTCCAATTTACATTGTTATCACACAATTAAATAAACAGGCATTTATGTGTTACCAAAAAAAAACAAAATCTCGTGGGAAATTCGCAAGAGATTCGGGAACGTTCCTACAAAAAGATTGATGGACCGTACAACTCAAGCCATCAGAGGTATAGTACACTAACAGTTTTTAAAATTGTAGCTCTTAGTAATGGTTATTGCTTCTTGACGATTTAGTTGGAATGCCCGTAAAATCCCCATCATTAATGGAAATACACTGTTTGTAATCTTTTGTCCAGACCCATGTGATTTTACTAGAATTTTATCTATGTACCTCGCCTAAAATCGGGTTTCAAGCAGCAGCAGATCTTGCAGAAGGGACGCTAAACATATTAGATTGATGATAAATGTGACAATTTACCTGTCGTTTTCTTGTTTTCTAAAAAATATTCATCTTCTATAAAGTATATATATATAGACATATATATTTAAATATTCGAAAATATTCGAGGAGTGAAAATTTCCCGTTTCAAGTTATACTTATAAACTGGCGTGCGATTCACCCACGATCGGATTGACTTCGCATTGCCATTATTCTCCTCATCCGAAGGCTTTTGGCAGTACCCGCTCAGATGTCAGTTATCGAGATATTTGTGGATTTGATTATGCATGAAGCTATTAGGCAGTGAATATACTTCTATGGTGAGTTCACTGAACGAGTTCAAGCCAAAAATAAACAGTTTTGCTATTTCGTAGAGTAGCTACTGCGCGACTGGTGGCATTCCTTAACTGATAGCGATAAATGTTAGCGATAACTAGTAGGAATTCACAAAGAAAAAATCCAATAACAGCAAGAACGTAACGAAACCAGTAAATCTCAGGATTTCAATCTTTTCCGGAAATTCCAGCAACTTGAAGATATTGAACTGGTCACCGAACTCAATGACGTAATTTTCATCAGCGCTCACAAAAAAGTAGGTAGTGTTAAAAGCAGCTGGAAATTCCTTGTTAGAAATCAGTAATCAACAAAACTCGTCCCGAATCTACGACAAGGCGGCAACACCCAAAGTGTGTTGACGACATTTTTCAAGCGGAACATTAAGCACCACATTTGTCATGAACGCATATTGGCAAGACGAGAATGTAAAAAGTCAAAGGAGCTACACTGAGAGGTTACTTTGTTGTTCCCGATGATGGTGGCTCGGCAAACGGATCATCTTTGTTGCCTTCAGAGACGATCGGAGCGATCATTTGCACAAATTCTTCGTAATCAATCTAAAAACAATAATATATAATCAATTATTTTAAACAAGTTTGATTAAGAAAATACTTTTCGTGCAGCATCTTCGAGTTTTTCTTGAATAGCTGTCGAATTTGAGACTAAAAACAGTCGGGTCCATTCACGAATGGAAGAAAAAGCCATTTATCCTATCATAAAGTGGTAGTGTTTTCCCCACCACTTGAAATTGTTATTCATCGAGTTAATAAGATTCTTATCATTTGCCTCTATCAGTACTGCTAGGTGAGCTCCTCTTAGTCGCCAAAATTCTACTTTTCAGAGAAACTGAAATTCTTATTTTGTCTCTCTCTTTCGTTAAAGCTCGTATTGCGAACAGTAAAGTGATTGCACAAGCGGAACTTCGTTCAGGACAACATAGTGCTATGCTTAAATGTGTCTTTGATGTTCTAGCTGTTAAGCTTACTAGCTTGCTACAGTAATTTCAAAAATTTCAACTTCATTTTCAAGCTTTTAAAGTATAATTCGAGAACATCTCAGAAGTGAAATAACCCTTGAAAAATCGCTTCTTCGAGTACAATAGTTATCTAGAAGCTGTCAGCATTCATCAAAAAATCATCTTAACATCGTAGGTATTGAAGTGAATATGTCAAATTTCCGGGTTTAGAATCTAAGCATACATGTTGGAGTTAACTCTGCTCTAAATAGAATTGAATGGACGCCACACCATTGATTAATAAATCAACATCAAAGAACGCGTTTACTTTCTTGCTAGAACAATTGTACGTTTCTGTTTCTATTAGACCTTTGTTCTTCTTAAGGTAGAGATATATGACATCTCTCTTCTCTTACGTACTGTACAATCACTCCCCATTGCAGAAACGCTATCCTTTTACTCTCCTTTATCCTTATGTTTGCGTATTGATCTTACTAGTAATTATATTGCTTATGGCCATGTTGATTTATGACGCCATGTTTAATCATCGCTGGATTAATACTGTTCATGTAAAGATTTGATTTCATTCATTTCAAACGTGCGGCGTGTCTAGCGCAGTGGACGAAAGCGCTCTGCGATCCATACGGGTTCAATACGGTGCACCTGGTTCACTAAGCCCTGTACTCATCCGGGGTCGGAAGATTGGCACCAAACCTGGCTGGGCCACTGCAAACCATTTTATACGCGAGATATGCATTCAATCATCTCTAAAGATGCTTAACGTAACGTTAACGGGTAACGTCGATTGCATGGTGCATAATTCAGAGAATGATCAACTCCGAGAGTTCCATTCTTTATCCATATAAAGATTTAATTAATCAATTTTGAGGCTTCGAAGTGTGTCACCAACGAGAGCCCTATGTGACAGAAAGAAAGAAGAGAATCCGTCCACTACAACTAACTACCCATTACTACCCCGTACGGCTTTACACCAGTGAATGTGGAATTTTTTTCTTTTCTTTTCTTGGTTTCTTCGCAAGCGAGGCATAAGCTACTAAATTATCCATCCTATTGACTTATTGGCCAACTATTAAAAGTTATTTTGGACTTGAAATTACTAACGTCCACCGCCATAGGGACATATCCGGTTTTAGAAAAAAGAAAACCGGGAGCGCAGTTGTCATAATTGCTGATCGAAAACCATTTCCTGAACGATTATGAAAACAAGTTTTAATCGAGTAAACCACTATTTAATGGTCTTCGTCAGAAAAATGGCCAACGACTCAAGGCTAGCAGGAGGTCAGGAGTTGTAAACAACGCTTTCATATTATCACTAAGAATTCTAAACTGGTAATAAATCAGTTAAAAAACGGCTATTACAACTACACCTGTTCATCGCCGTCCTTGTCCACTTCCTTAATGATCTCATCAACTTCCTCTTCAGTGAAACGCTCACCCATCGTCGTCATAAAGTGTTTAAACTCTTGAGCGGTAATGAATCCATTACCATCTTTATCGAAAACCCTAAGACAATTTGTTTATAAATCTATTTGCCTGGTGATTTAAACTACTGAAAGCAAGCAATTTCACTAGAAGAAAAAACTTTGACACGACGTATGCGCCCTGAACGCGTGGGAGTGATAAAATGGGTCGTTAAAGTTACCTCACTTAACATAATTGTAACAAGGTTTGTTCAAATTAAACTGGCACTCGCTTGCTTCATATCTAGCATTTGCCACTTCTGTAAACATTACATGGTCTGAGCTAATGCCAGCAATTTCTATTTAAATAAAAATAAATAAAAATTGACGGCATTGTGATTCATACCATAGCTACAGTTTAACTGGGCCGATCTGTGCTCTCCAGACCAATCCCCTTAACGGGTGGTTGCTGGTAGCGGCTATAGGTCAATAACACGGCTGAGAGACAGACGAAACGAAGGACTCGCATGGTGTGGTGGAACGTATTAGGCCTCGGTATAGGTAATAACATGCTCAGTCCCCGCCGCAGACACCAACGGTCCAGAGTTTTGCAAATATCTCTGCAACATTATGATCTGAGCTAACTCATATTAATCTAAAATTGCCACCTATTAAAAGGCGGTCATGCGAGATGCCTGAGAATACGGTTTCATGACACTTTCCACCTGGGACCGTTTGCTTCCAACTTTTTTTCTGGCAATAACTTAACCAGGAATGTTCGGGTCTATATGGTCTGTCCGTTTGAAGCGGTCCAGAACTGGTTTATTCCAATAGTTGTAGGGTTCAAGGGTATTCACGAAAAATAAATAAAATGTAAAAAAATATGGTGCATGCGAAAAGTTTTAAGACAATCTGTTAGAGAAGGGAGTGGAATATGATCCACCAGATTCAGTTGCATCTCAAAGGTTTCTAGCTGCCTTTTGACTTGTTTTTGTTCTCCCACTCATTCCCAACTAACATCTGGTCGATGACATACCACAACGTTACACCATTAATTGGCTGCTTGATACTAATCGCCCCATGAGAACGACTATAATAACTATAACACTGTAATCCCATGGAAATGCTTTTTTGTTTAACTGAGCAACAAATTAGCTGAACACTCGGTTAGTTTGTAACGCGTGCGGTAGCCTCTGAAATAGCTACACCAATGTTAACTTTTTATTTACTGCGTACTATAATTGTGATTTCGACTACACCTCTAGCTTAACGGGGTTCATTGCTAATTTGGGCTCCCTAGAACAACCCGTTGATGGGTGATTGCTGATGGCGCTAATCGTTAGAACTAATTGAGAGACAGGCGAAACGAAGGACCGGCACGGTGTGATGGTGGACGCGTTAGCCCCTGTAAAGGGTAATAGCGCTTTCGTTGCCCTCCACAGACAGCTGCGGTCCGAAGTTTTGCAAATATCTCAGCATCATTGTGGTTGTTTCACACGTAATAACTACACCTATTATAAAAAAATAAAATGACCGATAGGAGACGAAGCTCTGAAGGAAGATATTGTACAATTTTCGGTCGGTGTAACCAAAAGGAAAGCATCTACCAAACAAAAAACAAAGGAAAACAAATAAGAGCAAAGGAAAGTGGCTTTTCATACTATCTCGTACCAGGGGTTTTCACTATTTTTTCTTATTGCTGAGCATTGAAAAATATTTCTAAATAAAATAAGGAAAATGAAAGCCATCTCTAAACAAAAAATGAAATGTGGACCGAAACAAAACAGTTCTTTTAACGAATACACGTTTTGGTGTATGGAAAACCCTTTTCCGTTTCACCTTCTGCCACTCTTTCCCATAATGAGAACGGGATGACTGGAATCAGTATGCAATATGAACTGTAAACTTACTTGAAAGCGAGTCGAATAAGTTCTTGGTCGGTCTCTTTATTCATCTCCTTCATCATCTTACAGAATTCACCGAAATCAATCTTTCCATTACCGTCCACATCGTATTCGTTAACCATATTCTAAAATTCATTGATTCATTCGTCCTACATCGCTGACTATTGCTCGAATCGAATATTCGAATTCAAATACTCGAATAAATGGCAGGCATTTCGACAAAAAAAAACGAAAACAAGCTGGCTTTGTTACTGGAATTTTGTTTAGTGTTTAGCAAGCACTCACCAAATGTCAGCTGTACACTTTTATTCTATTCATTAAGATTTTACAGTGAACTACGATGATGTAATGATTGTAAAACCTTTGGTAGTTAAAAGAACCTTGAAATTGGAACCTCTTTTTACTAGGCTCAGTTTTACTAGGTTTATATTTCTAGATAGCAACTGAATTAAACCTAACAAAGCATAGAGATTCAAGCGTTTAGCGCTAATTAATCGTCTTGGGACACACGCCATGCATTCGACTTCATGTGTAGCGTCGTGGAGGTGAATGAATGTCTAGTTTGCTTTAACGACTTCGCGGATCGCACCATACATCAAATCATTGTTTTTCAATCGATCACACGAATCTAGCATTAATTTGTCTACCACATGAGAAGGAATCGAACGAGTGACCTCAAATGTATTATAAGACTTTTCTAAGCACTGAGGTACAGAGGAGTAAAATCGGGAAAGCCTCCAGTTGATAAAATGACACACTAAACACTTATATATTTGCTGTGATTTTTTTTCAAATAAATTGGATACCTGGAGTTCTTCTTCGGTAGGATTCATGCCCAGTGTTCTCATCGCTATACCAAGTTCTTTGATATTCATCGTTCCATTACCGTCTCTGTCGAACATCTATAAAGAGACAGAATACAGTTTCGTTTTCATTAGCATCAGGAAGCGAAAAGAAGAATGTTTACTTTGAAAGCCTGAGCGAATTCCTGAAGTTCTTCTTGTGTGAACTCTTCTATATCACTTGAACCAGAATTATTGGTACACTGACGGTGCATTTCACGATTTGATGTCACACCTATAAACTTCAGAATACGTAGTCCCATGTAGTAATAATCAAAGTAAAAACTCTTCGCCTAATAGGTTTCAATAATACAGTTTACTTCAGAACTAGCTGAGGAACAGGCGAAACGAAGGACCTGCATTGTATGGTGGTGAACGCGTTAGCTTCCAAAAAGGATAATAACGCGTTCGTACCTCACCGCAGACACCTGCGGTCCGGAGTTTTGCAAACATCTCAGCATCATTGTCGTTGTATCACACATAACACCTTGCCGTGAAAAATTGTAATAGGGAATGAATGAAAAAGTTGACAGTTTATTTTATTTATTAAATACGGATGCCTCAGACCCCTTTATTGAAGCCAAGGCTTGACTTTCAACAAATCTCAAATTTACCGTGGATGTTAATAGAAGTTTAACTGACAACTAAACGTTGTGAAATGCTAATATCCATAGTAATTCGGGACAAATTTCTCTCCTCGTCATATAGTAGCTCTAATTTTGAATGGAACTATCGAGTAGCGCTTAGAAGAAGTTTTCAAAAAACATGGAATAAAAACAATGTTTTGAGCTGATAGCATCTTTTCTTGAACGTGTTTCAGCTCTTTCGGATCGACATTGATTTTTCGGTGAGTGACGGTAATTTTTCGGTCAATAATGTATTTCAGGAATCTAGGGCTCCATGGATTCATGGAAGTGACTTCAGTCTATAGCACTGATCAATAATTTTATGCGATATCCCTGAAATTTAAATATGTTTAGAAAAGGGTTTTCTAAAGATTGAAAATGGAGTTTAAAAGCCATAAAATTTTCAATGTAAAAGCGGCAGCCGCAAAAAACAAGAGATAATAGATTGGAGGCCACCATCGTATCCCGTCAGAGAGAACTCCTTTCGTTACTTTCGTGTCCGAAATGTGAGCTTTGAAGCAGAAAAGTGAAGAAATGTTGTGGCTCCACAAAGTCAGAATGTCCTGACGGTAAAATAGGAGAGCTTTATCTTATAGATGAAGACTTTCAAAATTCCAGTAGCTTTTATTGCAGCTAATAAAGTTGCTTCTTATTCGGTGAGCTCTGTTGAATTGTAAGCAGCCATCATTTTCGCATCGTATGACTCCTACAGAGGTCACGCCGTGAGTAAGGATTAGAGCAGGTAACATGAGATAATTAACAGAATACAAAGTATTATATGATAGCTAGTTGTTAACCATACCAAAAATTAGTAGAGGACTGCTAAAGTGCACTTAGGATTTCACAGCAATCCAAACGGCTGCTCAGAGGGTATAAATTGGACGCGATTTCTTTGTGAACAATTATATAAAGCCCATGAGAGCGCTAACTTCGTTCCAAAGCTGGATCAAGGAACTTTGAATTAAATTGACGGCAAAGAACGGGAGAGATTCTTTTTATAACTGAATAAATTCTCTAGAACTCTTCAAAACCTCTGTAAACCCATTATGGAAGAAAAACGAATAAAGTAGTTCTCATTAAACAATGAAGTTCTATGAATCAAAGGACAAGTCCATGCGATTATTCTATCCGAAGCGAAATATTCAGTAAAAATGGCCCAAAACATTTCAAGAAAATGGGAAGTTATAGGTTAAAGGTGAAAAAACGAGCACAAGAAAGTAAGAAATAATGCTGAACAAGTGATCTGAAGAAGTATTAAGCGAGGAAGAAAGCATGAATGATCAAGAAAGCATGAAAGTGGTTGAGAGCGATTCAGTTGATCTGGAACTAAGAATAACAATGCAACAAAGGTTCTAGTTACTAAAAATAACGTCTTTTGAAGGGTTACCAAACAGAAAAGAACTGAAACGAGAACGAAGAAGTGACTGCGATTGATGATTTCCGTTGGTTTGAAACATCTCGGACGGAGTAAAGTGGCGGAGGAGTTTTGTGTGCTAGTAGAGGAAGGCCGTGGGATTATGACTGAAATAAGCCCGACTCCGTCCAATTTTTCATTACTCGAAAGTAGCGTTTAATTGGATTGGTTCGAGGGAAAAAAACGAGAAAAGGTATCACAACAAGATTTCAAACTAAAAATAACAGCTTCAACTCCATAGAATAACCGACAACGTCACGTTTACTTCGTTATTCTATTACTGGTATTAAGTATTAGTTAAATATAAAATTTTAATTCATACCAGTTTTATAGAATCCTCTAAGTTTGATTTACTTCCTGTTCTTTCTTCATGGCAGAGTCATGTGTCAAACGTAACCGCAAGGATGTCAACCACAGGGATGACGAGGCATCCTAAGGTTCCGAGTTTTGTTCATATTTCGGTAACCTCGTGATTATTTAAGTATATTCTACTCCACGTTAAGTTCTCTATTTCTTTCATTTTAGCCCATTTTTCTTCTGATTTCGTAATTATTTCCTTGCCTTCGTTCGCATTAAAAATTTTCTAAATTAAAATGATATTTGAGAAGACCTATCTCTAAAACATCACTACGGCTTTTCAGAGTTCAAATGAACTTTGTTATATACTAATAAACAATCTGGCTGGTACGGATTGCACAATGGCAGTGTTGCCGTTCGATACGCATAGGACACGTCTTGGTTGAATTCCACTGTGAGTCGAGCAATCCCTCCAAATTAGTATCAGACGTGTTCGAGAAGAGTTTCCTGCAGTATACAAAGGTTATAGGCCGCCTGTGATATCGACTCGGGAGCGCTTTAGCACGGTAATCCCGGGATTCCAGGAGAGGACGTGATCGATCATAATTCAATGATATTCATGAAGAAGATAAAATTCCCAAGTTACAACCTAATCAACAAGTTAAAAGCTCGCAGACCTTCATGGTTTACGGCGGATGAACGAGAAGAATCATATAAACGAAATGATGAAATCAGCACACTCTGTGGCTGAGGGTCATAGGCAATGACAAAACAAGCAAAAATACTCAGATTTCTGACAGCACCTTAATGGGCTTGCTAGCCTAGTGACCATCAGATATAATAAGGTAATCATTTAAAAATGATTAATGAAAATGAAAGTTTTACTTCCTTCCCACCAAAACTAGGGTAATGTCATTATGTGATTCGATCAATAATGTGATGTAAGTTCTACTTCAGAACAAATGTGTGGCCGACCAATTCGTTAGCAGATATGAAATCGAAGGCGATTTTCATCATGGCGCGTAGTGCAGTGCAATTAGTAGCAATTAGCCAAAAATTATCGAAACTATAATCTCATCACTCGCGTTCTAATCGTGCCTTTCGTTCCATCGTCCGGTGGCGAAGCCATTTCTTTCAGCACATTTGGGATGAATGTGGCCTTTCTTTTTCGATCGATAACAGGTGATGATTTCCTCAGTAATAGAGCACTAAGAAGTTACTTACTCCATAGACGTATAGAAGATACCTCGCCTTATCCCCTTATGAGTTTACACAAGTCTCTTAATACAATCTCACAGCTTTAAATTCGTTTGAATTTAACGTTCTCAAGGCATAAAACGAGATCTAATTTTTTAGCACTTTCCAACACTTAAGCAGTAGCCCGTGAATATCGGTGGATCATTGATGAACATCGTCTTGTGCAGCTGAGGGAAATCCAGTTCAATTCTTCATTTGGGCTATTGTCAATTCCTGAAGGATATTCCATATATTCGACTCAAATCGCAGTATCGTAGAGGTGGTCAGAAACACTTTTTGTCTATGCAACTACTTGCTTTGGTCCACCTATGCATCACTTTCGTGTTTTAATCCTTCCACGCAACTTTGGAACCAATTTGGAGACACAGAAAGGGTGTGAGATTTGTTGTGGTTAGCAAAGAGCACGAGATGGAACGGCGATTGGATCCAATGTGTATAGCAGGACACTTCTAACAACTGTGCTACGTGTGCAAACCTAATGTTTATGGATTTGGATTCAAAAGTGTTTGTTATTTTTGCATTATATGACTTCTAGAGAGATCCCAGCATCGTTTACATTCTACATAGAGCACGGCCATTTATCTTCATCATTTTTTTGCGTTCAAACCATCGCAGAGCAATTATGGCAGTAAGGAAAGGCTTTCTTTTGCGTAAAAGCAACTTAACGCTTTTATTTTCGTTTCGGGACGGGGAGCGTGTGGCGAAATGGTCGGAGGCGCGCACATGGGATCGATTTCCACACCCCCGAGCTACCAAGCCCTTTACCTCTCGGGGTCAACAGATTGGTATCAGACTTTTCTGGAAGGATAGCAGCACTGGCTCGATACATAGGTAGGCCACAGCGAGTCATTGTAATGGCCAGATATGCATTCAATCGCCACCAACGATGAATAATGATGTCGAATGCAGCGCGCATCCCCAAGGGACGCTGAGAACTCTCGGCATTCTATCGCTTCATTTTTGCTTTACAAGTACATCTACCTCAACTACATAAATGCACAACAAATATCTATGATATTTACAAACAATTCGATTACTGATTGAACGGTTTTTAAACCTAGGAGCTTACATAAGTGGCTACCTTAGCGTTGTGTTTAAAAAAAGCGGTACCGGTGTTAATATAACAACTGTTACGGTTTTATATGTATTCTATAGTAAAAAAGGGTAAAGCTCTCGGGATTGATCCCTGAGGGATGCGCCATGCATTCCACTTCATTAAGTATCGTTGGAGATGACTTAATGCATAACTGGCTTTTATGATGACTCGTGGTGGCCTACCGGTGTATCGAGCCAGTGCTGCTATCATTCCACAGAAGTCTGTTACCAATTCGCCAACCCCGGAGGGATGGAAGGCTTGGTGGGCCACGGGCGCAGAGATCGATTCCACGTATGTATCCTAGTGGCGCCTCCAACGACTGCGCCACACGCGCTCTTATGTATTCCATAAAGTAATCAAATATTTTGCAAACTATGATTTATATAATTTAAAAAGCCGCTGTGCTCTTCTATTTATGTTGAAAAGATAATTTCAGCTTTTCCATTAATACGTAATTAATTCGCAACTCATTGTCAGTTTGAGGTCGTGAAAGGTTTGGAAAGGAGAAGAAAAACGAAATTATGA